CCGAATTTTTCTGTTTTTCCTTCTTTTCTCTTTCTTTTTGATGTAAAATTTTCTTTTCCTCCAAAAATCTGAATCATCTTATTCCCTACCTTTTTTCTTATTTTCTGATTTTTTTTATTTTTATTTTTTTTTCTGAAAATTCAAAATTTCTTCGGCACCGTAAAATCTGATTAGGACTTCACATTTTGACCCCATGGGGGGCACACATTTTGACCCCATGGGGGTAATGAAGTGCTGCCGAAATTTTTCATTTTTCTTACAACTCGGTCCTTTTTCAGCACATCTCGACCCCTTGGGGGTAGTGAAGTGCTGATAAAATCTTCTTACTTAGTCGTTTTCTTGACGGCACACTTCGACCCCATGGGGGTAACGAAATGCTGCCGAAATTTTTTGAAAAATTCCAAAACTTAGCTTCTCTTCACTCTCCTCCACCTCCGTGTTTATTTATTTATTTATTTATTTATTTGAAAATTTTAATTTGCAGCATTTTAAAAGTTAGTGTGTCCCTCTTGCACTTTCCTTCCTCTTCGCATATTTTTGACTCCATGCGCAGTGGGAAAATGCTGCCGAAAATTCCAAAAAAATAAATATTCTCTCTCTCGTCAATCTTTACATTTTATCTATTTATTTTTTTTTTATTATTTTTTTATTTTATTTTTATCTTGAAAATCCACTGTTTACTCTATTCTCCCTCCCCTCCACATTTACTATTTTCTTTTCTTGATTAGGTCGCCGCCACTTTCCCCTAACCACCTAAACTGCGGTTAGGGTTTCCTTAGGGTTTTTCTAGGGTTTAGGGTTTCCCTAACCCCCCTACTCTCCCACCTCCTCCCGTCAGGCACCCTGGACCCGAACGGCTCCTCTCGCCTAGACCGGATTCGCGCCACCATCTCACGCGCGACCCGATGGTCACGGGGCGAGCCGACCCACGACTACCCACTTCGCTCCCGCGGTCCTCTCCCTCTCACCGGTGGTCCTCTGTCCCCATACCACAACCCATATCTCCCCCCACCTCCCACCATGTCTACCTCTCTTCCTCCACCATCCACGRACATGGCTACAGTGGAGGAGATCGTTGCGGTKYCATCCAYCTCTCAGGCGYCCACCCACCCCACGGTCCAGGRTCAGCATGGTGTGGACCCCACGCACCTTCGCGCTGTTCTTGCGTCCCTCCTTGCACCTCTGCAAGCGCGACTCGATGCGCTTGCACCCCTCGAGACGCAAGTTAATGCGCTCGCCCTTGAAGTTCACCGCCTCAAGGGTTCCCCTCATCGGTCCCCCCACCGCTCTCAGACCCCATCACCTACCAGCTCGGAGTCTGGCTCTCCACGACGCCAGAGACGGAGACGTGGCGGTTCGTCCTCATCTGCGGGCCAGGCCCAGCACTCCCCCGCCCCAGTGGTGAGTGTTGTTGCCGCCCAGACCACACCGTCTGTGGCGGTACACCCATCGGTCGCCGCCGCCTCCGCCGCCCCTACCGCTTCGGCCACCGCCGGATGTGCTGTGGCCCAGATACCGACATCGGGCCAGGCAGTCTCATCTACCCACCCCGGTGCTGCGTCGCAGCTTCCTGCGCCAGTTAACGGTACTTCGGCCCATACTTCTTCCTCTCCCTGCTAGGGCACTCCCTCCGCCTCCTCCACCCCCGACCCCGTGCAACCAGCAAGTGGCTACCCTACAAGCCACTGTGGCGCAGCTCCAGGCGGAGATTCTCTCCCTTAGACAGCCTCATCCTCCACAGGCTGCGCACCCTTCTTCTTCTTACACCGTCCCTCCCACCACTGTCTTGCCGGCTCGCTTCCCTCGACCGGCTCCCCCCCTTCTACCCTCCTACCTTGCTACTCCGTCACAGTCAGCTGCGGCCGTTACCTCCACGCCCACTGGACCTTCCACCAGCGGCCTCGACTCACCGCCAACCCCCACTTCTACCTCTGCACCAGCTCCGACATTTTCCGCAGTAGTGCAGACGCATCAGCCCCTCTCCCCTCGCCGCCACCACAGCAGTCGCACCCTTGTGCGTCTGTCGGACATACCCGACTACGATGGTACGATGCGTGTGTCGCACTGGTTACAGGCTGCCACACATGCGCTGACACTGACTAACACTAGTCAGGACTTATGGTGTTACGCCCTTGCAACTAAATTGCAAGGCAGTGCATTCTCTGGTTGGGAGAACTATTATACCCATCATACTCGTGCAGGTGAGGCGTCCACTCTCGCGGATTTCACCGTGTTCCTCCACTACCGCTACGGCACCCTCCACGATGCGACCGACACCCTAGACCGGGTTACCCAGACGCAGTGGCGCGGGTCCTCTACACCCTCCGATCTTAAGCATCACATCAGAGTGTTCCAGGACGGCCGCCTCATTTGCGATGAGGCACTCCTACCTGAGGCCCTTTTGACCAACAGGTTCGCAGTCAGTCTCCCGACTGACTACCGTATCGAGCTCTGGCGACAGAGCTTCGCCTCCACCGAGCAAGCCTACGAGGCTGCTCGACAGTACCAGAAGATGTGGAATCGCTCCTCACTCCATCTTCTTCGCGATCCACCGCTGCCGCCACCCAGTCACGTGGTGCTACTCGCGGTTGATCCTCCTTCGCTGGCCGGTTTCGCCGACCCGCCCGACCTGGAGCGTCGTTCTCCCGGCGCTACAGTTCTCTGGAGTACGGCGAGGACGCCTCGGCTGAGTTTGACCCTACCCTTGGGGACGCCCCCGAGGACATCGAGCTACGAGACGTCATCCAGTATCACTTGGATGACGACACTGTTCCGGTGGCCGAGCGCTTGCTGATGGCCATGTCTGCCATGGGTCGTGCTCGTAGCCGGGTTGCACAGGCTGGCGCCCGCACACCCACGGTTCCTCAGATATACCTCCCGCAGGGTTATGTCCCTCCTCGCGGAGCTCTATCCTCTGAGGAGCGTGCCACCCTCGAGGCGCGGCGCGGCTGCCTTCGTTGCCGCCTAGATGGACACACCTTCTCACGGTGTCCATACCATACCGCCCTCGATCGGCACTACGCTGACATCTCTCGTCAGCCTCGATCTCAGTCCCCCCCCTGCCCCGCCCGGCCAACCCCATCCACCTAGCCACGGTGCAGCGTGCCCCTGAGGCCTCACACGTAGCCGGCTTCCCGACCACCGAGTCGCGGTTTGCCCCTTTGGCTACCCCACCAGAGGACCCTCGAGACACGACAGACGCAATTCTCGCCGCCCCATCGTTTGTCGAGGTACCGTCTTCCTCCCAGCAGACCGCCGCATTTAGCGCTTCTCCCCCGAGACTTCCGACGCGTCGCGCCATTCGCACAGCCCATTGTAGCGCTCAGCTGACGACTCGCGATGGCGTTGTGTCATCTCTCCTGGACTTGAGCATTCTGCAGGCTCGTTAGGAGCGCCTCACGAGACACTTCAATGTCCTGCGTCGTCTTCTCGCCTTGCTCTCTGACCCTGATCGCACCCTACCCATCATCCCTATTCGTCTAGGGACATCTACGAGGGTGTACCGCGCTTTATGGGACTCTGGCTCGCAGGGAGATTTCTTTCACCCTCGCGTGGTTGAGGAAGCTCGCCTAGCTACCTCTGGGTCTCGCTCTCCTATCTCCGTTACCCTCAGAGATAACAAGACGCAGCGCTTCTTCGATCAGACGGTCCCCGACCTCCACTTCTCCCTCACAGACACCTCCGCGATGTCCTATAGCGCTTACGCAAGCATGGACTTCCTAGGACACCATGTGTCTGACCAGGGTCTCCACATGGACGACGCGAAGATCACTGCTATTGGAGAGTGGCCCGTCCCCACATCTGCCAAGCAGCTTCGCAGCTTCCTAGGCCTCACCAGCTACTATAGTAATTTTATCCAGGGATACGCTAGGTATTCCTACGTCCTTACCTGTACCCTACTCCGGAAGAACCCGTCGTGGTTTTGGACACCCCTGTGCGAGGACGCCTTTCGCGCCCTCAAGAAGGCGGTGACCTGTGCGCCGGTTCTTCGCCTTCCCGATTTTAATCGTCCCTTTATCGTCACCATCGATGCGTCAGACTTTGCAGTAGGAGTTGTCCTTTCTCAGGTGTTTCCCTCTCCTCCAGATTCACCTTACCCCCATGTTCCTCCTTTCCCCCCCCTCCTGCTGACACTGCTTCTCGACTGACGCCTACCCTCCCACCACTTCCCTCCACTGACAGTCCTCCTGTTACTTACTCCCCGACCATCGCGGAGAATGGGATTGTCGAGGCTTGTGCTGGGGATTGCCCGATCGCTTTCTACTCCCGTCAGCTACTGCCTGTCGAGATAAACTACACTGCCGATGAACGTGAGGTTCTCGCAGTAGTTTATGCTACCCGACATTGGCGTCATTATCTGCACGGGGCGCCCTTCACGGTGCGCACGGACAACTCAATTGTCCAGGCCTTCCTCACGAAGCCTAAGCTTTCCCCTCGACAGGCACGCTGGTGGCGTGACTTATCCGAGTCCAGTTTCACCACTTAGCCCATCAAGGGTGAAACGAACCGCGTCGCCGATGCCTTGTCCCGCCGTCCTGATCACAATCAGGAACCCATCCATCTTGCTGCCATCTCCATCACCAYTGTTGWTCAGTCGGTGATCGACGCGTATCGCACTCAATACCGCCACTGCCCCGATTATGGCGTCATCCACGCGACACTGCGGAGTGGCAAGACCATTCCTTCCTACTCCCTCGGGGAGAACGGCCTCGTGTACTGGCATGGTAGATCTGGTCAGCTAGAACCACGTATCTGCGTTCCCTCCACCGGACAGCTCCGCGTCCAGGCTGTAGCAGAGTTCCATGACTAGGCAGTTGCCGGTCATATGGGTTTCCACAAGACGTTGGCTCGTGTTTGCCGCCTATATGTCTGGCCGAAGTCCAAGGACTTTGTCAAAGCCTACATCCAGGAGTGTCCTACCTGCCAGGAGGTGAACAGTGCGAACCACCTTCCGTATGGGTTACTTCAGCCCCTACCCATACCTGAGGGTCGTTGGCAGTCCATCTCGATGGATTTCATTGGTCCCCTCTGCCCACCCACTGAGCGCGGTCATTATGCTATCTTGGTCGTCGTCGATCGCTTCACGAAGCGTGCACGTTTTGTCCCGTGCCGCTATCGCATTAACGCTCGTGAGGTCGCCGACATCGTCTTCGACCGAGTCGTGAGATATCACGGCTTACCTCAGAGCAACATCTCCGACCGTGACCCGCGCTTTACCAGCACATTCTGGAGACGCCTACACGACGTGTACAGATCCCAGCTCCGCTTCTCATCGTCTTACCACCCTCAGACGGATGGTCACACTGAGGTCACCAATAAAACTCTCGGTAATATCCTCCGAAAGTTTGTTAGGGATGACCAGCAGTGGGACTTACACTTAGCCCACGCGGAGATTGAGTACAACCACGCTGTTTCGCCTACCACGGGGATGTCGCCATTCTATTGCGACCTCGGCTACCACCCTCGCGTACCCGCAGATTTCCTACGACCATCGCGGTTGCGCCCAGACACTCGTTGCCCTGCGCTTGACGACTGGATCGCCCACATGGCGGCGATTATGAAGCGCGCACACGAGAGTTTAGCCGACTCCTAGACTCGCATGGCTGCACGAGCAAACCGATCACGAATGGATCATCCATTCAAAGTCGGTGACGATGTGGTTGTCGACGCACGCCACTTACAGCTCGAAGCAGATACGCTTCGCAAGTTCAGGCGTCGTTTCTTAGGTCCATGCCGCATCCTTCAGGCCGTCGGTTCTGATACTGCCGCTAGTCCGGTCAGCTTCCGTGTGAARCTACCTGATTACCTTCGACAGGCTCGCGCACACGATGTTTACCACGTCTCCTTGTTGCGTCCTTATCGCAGACCGTCCGAGCGCTTCGTCGGACGCCCTTTTGAGCGCCCTCCACCTATCATGGTGGACGGTCACGAGGAGTTCGTTGTTTCCGACATCGTATCACGCCGAGTTACTGACGATACCCCTCCACGCATCGAGTACCTTGTGCGTTGGAAGGGCTACCCTGATGAGGATGCTACTTGGGAGCCCCTCGAGCACTTGCAGCACGCCAGGATGTTGGTTCGTGCATATGATTGTGCTCGTCGTGCGGAGACATCTGCTTCTACTCAGCCGACTGACCCTCTTCCTCCTCCTCCGGCTGAGGAGATTGCTGAGGACGAGCCTCCTCCCTTTGAGGCCGTTCCTCAGCCGCGGACGGTCGCCTCCGAGCGTCCACAGCGCACTCATCGTCGCCCTTCGCGTTACGATGACTGACACTCTTATCCTCTATCTTACCCCACTGACTCACTCCATCAGGTACTCCATCATCAGCTCTTCTTCAGGATGTCAACTTTTTGCGGCTCTGCTTCGACGTCGACTCGACTGCTACCTCATCGACGTCATCGACCACTTCGACGACTTCAGCTACTTTGGACATGACTACTTCACGTCACCACCCTACCCTGTATACTCCCTTGCCTCTGTCGCATGATGGTTCTCACTTAGCTGGGTCTCTTTGAGTTTGGCTCTCCCTTGGTATCGCATAGGCATTGGGACCGTAGCGTTATCTTGGCTTTCTTGCTCCCAGATCTAGCTCCCTCTCCTCACGCGCAAAATCCCTAAATCCCGACCGTATGGCACCCAGGGTTACCTCCTAACTCCAACTGGCCTGGCGCTCCTCCATCCAGGTTGTGCACTCGACACTTCCAGGTAACCCAACATCTTATCCATCTTGGCAGAAATATCTGCCTGTGCTCCCACTTCTCGCGTACAATCGTGCACTTTCGCCACTTCCGTGGTCAATATATTAACTTACTCTCCTCTTCTTCTTCTCTCTCTTCATCCTCAGTTTCCATTCCAATTTCTTCTCCTCTTCTCTTTCCCTTCGTTCCGGAGGGTCCTCCATCGCTCCTAGCTCACTGACCAATGCATCCCTCTCGTCCTTTCGGACGTAGAACTCTGCCTCCTCATCTTCCCCCAACGATAAATTAGCGATCCACTCACTTATTTTTTTCTCCATCTCTACTTCTTCTTTCATCGCTCCACTGCTCTCTGCTTCTTTTCCCTTCCGTTTTCTCTCCTCCTCTGCTTCTGCTGCCGCTTCTTCTTCAGCAGCCTTCTTCTTCTTCTCCATCTCCTCCTCCAACTCCCTCATCTTTCCCGCCTGCGCCACTGCGATAGCCTTCAACTTCGCTTGCTTCAGGAGCCCCTTCCTCTCTCTATTTTCTTTCACTATGGCAGCCATCTTCTCTTGCTACTCCTGAGTGTAGGGGCTAGTATTCGTCCCACCGCGGGTCTCAACCATGGTGACAGGTGCATAACCAAGTGGCGGTTCCAAACCTCACCACGTTGACTCTAACCCCTGACTGACAAGCCTATAGACTCAATCTAAGACTCACAGAATCTGGACAGGGATCCTGTCAACTATGGCCTCTAGCCTAGACCTAACTATGGCTGTCACTACCAGACCTTTGCTGATCTGGAGGCATTTAAGGAGATCCCCCGTAACTCCTCAAGAATTTTATAACGTCGCAGACAGGACGACGTGATCAGCAGGTCCTTACCTTTCGCACCGCCCACAGCTCAACTTTTCAGGCCTACCGTGCCACACCGAGCAGCCCGCCGGTCAGTACCGGTCCTTGGGAGGGTTTGACCTCCGTGACAGTCGAGTCGTCAGACACAGTCTTTAGCCTTACTTAGTCTGACAGGGGTTCGGGTCAACAAGGCCCTCAACACTTAGACTGCTTGTTTTTTCAGCCCACAACTCAGTCTTTCAGGCCCACTGTACCATACCAACCGTGTCCAGCCGGTCAGCACCGGTCCTTGGGAGGGTTATGCCCCCCTGGACAGTTGGATTTGCCACAGTCTCAGCCCTACTAGATCCGGGAGGGGTTTCGTCATACAGGCCCTATCCTTCATCCACAGAGTACTATCACCTAGGACAGAAGAGAACCGATGCAGAAAGAATAGACAGACAGACTGTACTCAGCAAGTACCAAGGGGTATGTGCACATCCATAGGGCAAGGGGTAGGCTGAGCGCTTGGCGAGATGTTACCAACTCCAGCTTGGTCAACGACCTTGGTCAATGCCGGTCAACGCTGTGGTCAACCCTCGGTCAACGCCCGGTCAACTCCGGTAACGCTGGTCAACACCTCCGGTCAACTCCTCTGGTCAACCCTCCGGTCAACTATGGCTGCCGGCTCTTCTTCCTCGCCAATTCCCTTCTTCTTCCTCACCTTCCTCGCGTCCTTTCACCCCGCTGTCTTCTTCTTCTCTTTCTCTCTCTCTCTCTCTCTCTCTCTCTCTCTCTCTCTCTCTCTCTCTCTCTCTCCCCCTCTCTGTCCTATCTCTCTCCCTCCTTCGTTACTCTGTGATGATGCTTTGCGGCTATGGTCGCTTTCTCCCTCGTTCGTGGGACTGCACAGTTCGCTTCACAGGTAAGTGACAACCAAGCTTGTATCGCTCATCTCTCTCTCTCTCTCTCTCTCTCTCTCTCTCTCTCTCTCTCTCTCTCGGTCTTCTTCTTCGTCGTGGTCTTCTTGCAGGTGCGCGGCGGCTTCTCAACCTCGGGTCCGCTATGGCGGACTATCCCCCTCGGCGGCCACCTCTGCTATGGCACGTCAGCCCCTGCACACGACAGCGCGCATGGAATAGCGGGTACCAGCTCTAATACCAATGCAATCAGACTCGTTCTCGAACATACTTTTCATGCATGTAAACAGCAACGCAGCAACTGGCGACATGCGCCCACTCAAAACTCAGAGATATGGCTTCCAGACACGAGTTCACACTCAACTGGCTATGGCGACTTCGGCGCCCAAACATGTTCACGCACACTGGATCACCCTGGATATCCCACACACGTCACTCTGAACACTCGAACACACACACACACTTCCTACTAACTACAGCTATGGCAGCTATGGCTGCCTCTAACCTATCGCTATACTAACTCCTCCTCTCTCGCCCACTGCGTCCTCCGGGCTCATCTGCAGACCTCCTTGCACAAGTCGCTGTGGCAGCGCTTCCGCATGGCTCACGCAGGAATGAATGAAAGGCTGGGCGCTGCCTCTTGATTTATACTTCAGAAACTCGTTGGTCTGCCCTTTGCCATTGGCCCATGGTGCTCACAGTCCCCCATGGTACTTGTTGGACCGGACTGGGACCGACTGGACCTTACCGCTGACTGACTGTGGACTCGCTGCCGATCTACCGAAGTCTTACTGCGATTGCACTGCAGTTTAGTCCACCACTTGCCTCACCACTTGACCACTTGCCCACTTGCCTACTTTCTAGAAGGACTACAGCTAAGCTTCTGGAACTCACTAAGACTTTTACGCTATAGACCTATAGATCGAACCCCTGCTGCCTATGGACCTACGACAGATCTACCAACTGTCTACGAATACACAGGTCACAGGTTCAATTCTCGGGGTCTTCACAGATACTGTACACGGATAGGGTGAGGACTAGGGATCGAGCCCTGGGTACTGCATCTGCTATTGCTAAAGGTGAAAGCCGTTTCGAGTTGAAGAATAGGCACAAAAGGATCTGGGCCAGACCAGCATATTCCGCACAATGTTTAGACAAGAGGAGGAGAAGGAATGGGCAAGAAAATTCTACTTACCTGGAGATCGAATGTTGGAAGAGCTGCAAGGGGAAGCAGCAAGCTATCAGGAGGTGATGATGGTGCTAGATGCAGAACACGAGTGGATGGCGGAAGTGGAAGCGCAAATAGAGGTCACGCAGAAGGCCATACAACAAAAAAGAAGGGAAGCAGCAGCAAAGAAAAAGTTGTTGGATGGTAGGGCGGCCATAGCTGAGAGGCTGGAGAAGTAACCTAGGGGGGAGGAGCAGAGGGAGGTGAAAGACCAGATTGGGTTGCTGATTGAGGCTGCACTTCACGTCGCCGGAGAGTCTGCTGCGTTGCGGATTTATGGACCGTCTAGAGGACCAGGACAAAGAGTTCAGAGGTAAGTGGAACAACTTCATTATCGCCATGCCGCACAACACCACCCTTTGCGGTGCAGATGGCTGGGTGACAGAGCATTGCATCATGAAGGGCGTTGGTGGAGGTAGTGGCCCCCCTGATGGTGGAGATACGGTGAGGTCAAGAACAAGGGAAGAAGAACAGGGAAGGAGTTAGATAATGAAGATGCCCTGGACCTACTAAAAGGGCCTTTACCCGATTCAGCCCCTGTTCGACGAAAGCAGCAAATTGGGGTCCCTCGCCCAGAGCCCAATTCGTGAAAGCAAATCAAAAGACATGTTCTCTGGGTCAAAGGTCACATCCTGGCTAAAGTAAAGACAATGTCAAAGGTCATGGTTGAGCCCTGGGCGAACAGTCATCATGTTTGGATTTGGGGGTCACATCTGTTCGCCAGAGGCAATGCAATTCATGTCTATTCAGACAAGGGATGTGTCTGTACGTACAGTCAATGTGTCTGTTCGTGCAAAAGTGTTTGTTCGCCAGAGGCAATGCAATTCATGTCTATTCAGACAAGGGATGTGTCTGTACATACAGTTAATGTGTCTGTTCGTGCAAAAGAGTGTCTGTTCGTGCAGAGAGAGTGTCTATTCGTGCATTAGGTGTGTCTGTCCAGCAGAAGTCAAAGAGTTAAGTTCCAGTCCAGATTCGAGTCAGGAAGAAAGTCTAGATTCAGATTGGGAGTCCGAAATCAAGGTCTGGAGGCCGCAACAGCAGCAACCCCTGAAGGTAAGGGATCTGGAACACATACACAGAGGCTAGGACTGGGAAAGGACCAGGACAGCCATGATTCAAACCTCGCGAGGGGAGGCCAGCACTATACGAAACGAGGCAGCCTCCCCCACAGGGAGATTCTCATAGGCATTGAGGCGTGGAAGTGCTGAGGCACTTTTGCGCTATAGTGCTGGAGAGGCTCTGGCTGAAGGTTGGGCGCTGGCTTATCTCATCTCAATCTGTCTTTGTGTGAGACCACTTTGTACGTGTGATGACATGTATGCATGCGGTGTGATGCACTCGAGCAAGTTGTGAACAGTCATGTTCCTTGCAATTATGGTATCGGAGCAGATACTTGTTGTACTCATTGCGCTGGCATGAGTAAGGCTGGCGAGAAGAAGAAGAGCACACTGGCTTGTTGATGATGCTGGCGATGGTGGAAGAAGAGGTGGATAGGGATATGGGAGAGGAGTAGGCTGAAGAGGAAGGGGCAGAAGTGATACTTACCTGAAGCGTAGAGTGCGGAGCGACGAGGAGCCTTCATCGACGATCTCTGCAAAGAGAGAAGCACCCTTACCCCTTACCTGGCTGCATGTATGTGTGCATCTCTACTCCTCATCCTCTCTGGGGTTCGCTGCTGCTGCTGTCAAATCAAGTCACGGGTGGTTGAGGTCAAAGGGTCTTGTCACGTCAGGATCCAGAGTGATTAGTGTCCTTCTATCTTCTACCCTCTAGTCTGAAGTCTGCGCTGTAGTCAAGGGAAAGGTACGCTGGGAGATGGTGGCAATCTGCCACGTCAGGATGCAAGTGCAATATAAGGCATAACGAATCTGGGCAGAGACAAGTTGGGATTGAAGTATTGTCCAGGCATCTGAACGAGTACCACTCCAGCTCTACCGGCGCAGAAGGACAAACAGACAGAGTTAGCAAAGAAGATAAAAGGAAGGAGGAGAGAGTAACAACCATCACCAGACAAGAGCAAGTGTGATATCTGTTTTAATTAGTCCACTATCTGAAGTTGACAACAACCAGCAAAGGAAAGAAACAAACAAAAAAAAAGTCTTATTATATCTAATTCTGAAATTTGTTATTTGTTTTATCCCATCCACTTAGAGTAACTTGAGGATCAGTTGGGAGGCCTATCTGGTGGGACCGGCAGAGGGTTCCTTGTACTCAGTGCCACCATGGTGGACGACTTCCTGATGCAGGGCTTGATTGCCCTTTCTGTCTTGATGGGTCCCTTGTTCAGAGTTTTGTTTCCCCTGGGCTTCGGGAGGACATGCACCTCCCGTATGATGATGAGATCAGGAGGAATAAAGCCAGGGCTAACACCTGCAGAGCAGGCTGAAGTGGATCGTCGTCAGGCAGAAAAGAAAAAAGAAAGAGAAGAAAGGAAAAAGCAAAAGGAAGAAGAGATAAAGAAGAAAATGCAGATGGAAGAAGAACGAATGAAGAAGGAGATGAAAGAAAGGTTAGAGAAAAAATTGAAAGAGGAAATGCAGACCATTGAAGAAGAAGAGTCTGAGGAAGGGGGAGAAAGACTTATCAGACGGCGGACAGAGAAGGCGGAAAGTAGTCGGGCAGGTGAAGTATTTGCCAAACCGCTGGACCGGTATGACCAGTATGCGTACACCAGCGATGGACTGGAAGAAACAGAAGAAGAAAGGGACATCTTCGTTGCGAAATTAGCTACCGTTACAGACCAGAAAGAAAGGGACCTCATGCTTCAAGAAAAACGCGCGGAGCTGCACACTAAAATGTTAGCAGCAAAGCGACAGGAGCTTGACGAAAGGAAAAGATTACACGCAGAGGGGGCAAGGCTGCAACACGAACTGCAAGCACAGAAAGACAAGCAGGCGGCAACCGAAGAAAAACTTGCTCTCTTGACTGAAAGGGTCCTCCATACCAAGCAAGAGGTAGCCGCAATGAACCGGACCCTACAAAAAGTTGAAAGCCACCAATACGAATTTGAAGGGGTCTGGAACACCTTCCTTCAGAAGTCCGCCAAAGACGTGGATCTGCACATTCAATCTTACATTCAAAAGTTAGATAACCACATCACACAAACCTTCACTCCAGCCGTAATTGAGAAGATAATTCAGGGCAGCGGCGCAGGAGGCGGCGGAGGTGGTGATGGAGACGGAGATGGAGGCGAGGGAGACAGAAAAGGAAAGAGAGTGCTGCGAGACGATAAAGATACCGATGTCAGGAAAATAAAAGTTAAAGTGTCGTGGACCTACACTAGCAAAAGGGAGGAGAGTGTACTACATTGGATCGCGGCCATAGAATCATATGTTTACGGTCAGCGCATACCTTATTGGGATAAGAGTTCTGATGGCCACTTCGTGTATGGTCGATGATGCGAAGAGCTTCGCCATTTCGTTGCAAAAAGAAGCTAACTGGGATACTATGATTGCATATTCCCAGCAAACGAGAATTGAAGATTTCTTTAAAGCTGTCAGAGAACGGTTTGAAGATAAAAATCTAGCTCGCAGAACAGAAATGTTAATTTTGAACATCACAGATCGAAAATGGAAGAGTGCGTCTGCACTCAAAGCAACAATGGATGAACTCTTACAATGCGCAGAGAATGGATTAACTGCTACCCAAATACTCGACAACTTCGCAAGAGAACATTCTGATCCTCTCCGTATTCAACTTTATCCCCGCACAACAGAAGAAGGGATGACATACGAGAAGTTCAGCAAGATCGCTATAGATCATGCTGGCTTCTTAGCCGAGGCTAATTCCTGCCACTATTGGAAAGATCTGCAAGCGGGGAAGAAGTGGCGGGACCGCACAATCTCAGGGAACATCCCTGGGGAAGACAACCTCCTTCTGACCTTTGAAGAAGGAGGTGTCGAAACTCTTTCCTATGACCAGATAGACTATGGTCTTGAGGAAGGACCCAGCGGTCCGGTAGCTCAGGAGGGGAGCTACGCGGCCGTTGCAGCCCGCGGGGGAGGGCGACAAGGAAGAGGACGCGGCCAAGGAAGAGGAGGCCGTGGACGCGGTGGAAGAGGACCCGGTACCAGAGGGGTGGTGGCGAAGGAAGCTACTACGTGGGTGGAAGGGGCAAAGGTCCCTCGCAAGGTGGCCGGGGTTCATATTCTACCTGGGGAAGAGGAAGAGGCACGTGGTATGGTACATGGGACAAACCATATCCACCCCATCCAGGCTTGCCTGAAGGGGAGCCTTGGAAGCAATTAGGGATCACAGAAAAGGTGTGGCAAGAAAGAAAAGTTGCAGATCAGTGCCTCAAATGTGGTGACCCCAACCACATTGTTCCCTATTGCCCTGACTACAAAATACTAGAAGGGAACAACCAGCAGGGGTCTCAGTTGCCTCTACGGGAACTTCAGATGTAGAAAGAAAGACATCCTCCCATCCGAAGGTTCCACTGGCAGAAACTGAAGAGGAAGACAGTCCCCACCTAGTTAAACTGTCCAGAGGTAGTAAGTGTGTGTACCTCTCTAGGTGGATCCCTTGCTGGCATGGGTGATGAGTTGGCCGCTCGTCGCCAAGCCTGGACTGAAATGAAAAAACGAAGAGGACAGTTAATAATTGCAGATCTTGAAGTAAATAAAGTAAGAGTTGGTGGAATGGTTGACACAAGGTCAACACGCAGCTACATAAGTAAGAAAGGGTTGCAAAAGCTGTGTTTCGGGCTTAAGGTAAAGCAATTAGATGAGCCCGTAGTAAGTAAGTTAGCGAATAGTACAGTGACTGTAATGGATAAGTATGTTGAAGGGGTCCAGATATACTTCCGGCTCGAAGCAGAGGGGAAGGTGGAACGAGTTCTCCACTCTCAGACTCTCTTGGTGGAAGATAATCTTCCTTTTGACATTCTCCTAGGTATGGATTGGGGTGTTGGTGGAATGGTTGACACAAAGTCAACACGCAGCTACATAAGTAAGAAAGGGTTGCAAAAGTTGCGTCTCGGGCTTAAGGTAAAGCAATTAGATAAGCCCGTAGTAAGTAAGTTAGCTAATAGTACAGTGACTGTAATGGATAAGTATGTTGAAGGGGTCCAGATATACTTCCGGCTCGAAGCAGAGGAGAAGGTGGAACGAGTTCTCCACTCTCAGACTCTCTTGGTGGAAGATAATCTTCCTTTTGACATTCTCTTAGGTATGGATTGGGGTGAAGCTGCAGATGCGGATGTGAAGTTAAGGGACCATGAGTGTTGGCTCCCTAGTCCGCAAGGTGGAAAGAAGAAAATCCGCCTTTTTCATGAATCAGGTAAGGAAAGTAGCTTAGCTCATTGTTGTATGAGTGCCCCCGCGTTCGCCCGCCATGTGAAAAAGTATAATTTGTATGATCAAGTTTTTGTTGCATATGTACGCCCAGTGAAAGAGGTGGAACGACCAATCAAACACCGCATTGAAGTTATACCAGGAAGCTCGATTCCTAAGGGGCCTATATATCGCATGTCACCTAAAGAGTTAGATGAACTGCGAACCCAGCTGGATGAATTGTTGGAAAAGGGGTGGATAAGACCGAGCTCCTCGCCCTACGGTGCGCCTGTACTATTCGTGCCAAAGAAAGACGGTAGGGTACGCATGCGTATAGATTATAGAAGAGTTAATGATATAACAGTCAAAAATGTTGAGCCATTACCCAGAATAGATGATTTGTTGGATCGAGTACAGGGTAGCAAGTACTTCACTAAGATTGATCTGAAGTTTGGCTATCATCAAATCGAAGTGGAGCTAGAAGACAAATACAAGACTGCCTTTCGAACAAGGTATGGGCACTATGAGTTCGTGGTGTTACCCTTTGGTCTTACGAATGCACGTGCAACCTTCCAAAGAACAATGAATGAGCTTTTCCGTGAATGGCTTGATAAATTTGTAGTTATATATCTTGATGATATTCTGATTTTTAGTAAGGATTTAAAGGAACATTGCGAGCACCTTCGACCTGTGCTAAATAAGTTGCGTGAAGCAAAATTGAAGCTAAACCCGAAGAAGTGATTGGGCTAAGCGTCAAGTTTTGTATTTGGGGCATGTGCTTGATGGTGATGGTATCAAACCGGAGGATACAAAAATTGCAGCAATTCGGGATTGGCCTAACCTTCCGCACTTTGACTGAGTTGCGGTCGTTCCTTGGGCTAGCCAACTATTATCGGAAGTTCGTTAAACACTTCACGATAATCGTTGTGCCCCTTCGCAGATTGCTTAAGAAAGAGACCATGTGGAGGGATTCAGACCGTACGGCTTCGTCCAAACGCCTAAAGAAATGTCTGATCAACTACCCGGTTTTGAAGGTTGTTGATCCTTCTTTGCCCTTTGTCGTCACAACCGACGCCAGTCAGTACGGGATAGGTGTTGTACTCCAGCAGGATGATGTGAATGGATACAGACCCGTAGAGTTTATGTCCTGACGACTGCCTAATGAGAAGGTCGCCGCTTCCACATACGAAAGAGAGTTGTATGCTCTTCGGGAGGCTCTAGATCACTGGCGACACTATCTCTTAGGACTCCATTTTAAAGTGTACTCAAATCATGAGACACTTCGCTGGCTTAAAATGCAGGCCCTGATGACACCTGAACTGACAAGGTGGGCCGCTGAGATTGATCAATACGACTTTGAACTAAAGCCAGTTAAGGGTAAGTATAACGTTGTTGTTGACGCGCTAAGTCGAAGATCTGACTTTTTCGGTGCCGTCGTGCCATACTTAGATATGGGCACCAACTTGCAAGATAAAATTAGAAATGCGTATTCCACAGATCCTGTCTATGGCGCTATGATTAGACGTGTGCAAGAAACGCCACAGGAGTTTCCTAACTACCGAGTTACACAGGGACTGTTGTTTGAGCAAACAGATGTGCATGACAGGCTTTGCATTCCAAATGTAGAAGAGATCAAAAGCTTGATCTTGGGGGAGTGTCATGATACTGAAGGCCATTTTGGTTGGAAGAAGACTTATGCAGGCCTGTTGCGTTCCTGCACATGGCCTCGCATGAAAGCTGACTGCATGGCATATGTGCAAGGTTGTCAAGTGTGCCAAAGAAACAAGAGCACTACTCAACCTCCCCTTGGGCTACTAAAGCCTTTGCCGATTCCAATAGGTCCAGGAGACTCCGTATCCATTGATTTTATGAATACCAAGGTGAAAAGTAGAAATGGAAAGATGCCAGTCATGGTCATCGTTGACAGATTTAGTAAGTATGTTGTATTCGTAGCATTACCCGCGGAAGCAAAGACCGAATTAGTAATCCGAGAGTTCTTTAACCATTGGGTAAAGGATTATGGACATCCCTTAACAATTGTGAGTGACAGAGATTCACGTTTCGCGAGTGAACAATGGCAACAACTTATGAATGTCTATGGCTCTAAGTTAACTATGCCATCAGGTAGACACCCTGAGACAAACGGCCAGACTGTGCAAATGAATAAGATTTTGCAGCAGACATTGCGCATGTACATCCATCCCGACCAGATTGACTGGGATGAACATTTGCCCAAAGTTGCTAGTGCCTATAACAACTTTGTTTACCTATCTACATGCAGGACTCCAATGGAACTGCATTTGGGATGGCGACCACGTAGACCCATTGATCGCTTAAATTTGGATCAAGTATGAATGGGACAAGTGAGTTTGCAATACAGTATCAGCGAGATATTGAAAGGGTAAAAGAAAATATAGTGAAGGCACAACACCAAATGGTGGAACAGGCAAATAACCATAGAAGACCATCTCAATTCGTTGTAGGTGATTTGGTGTGGGTTAAGTCCAAAGAGTTTGCTCCTGAGGAGAACATTTCTCAGAACTTACTACCCGCCTATAGAGGACCTTGGCAAATTCTTGATGTGATTGGAGAGGTAGATGGACCTTCTTATGTAGTTGAAATTCCTCTACATTTGCATACGTATCCGGTGTTTCACGCCTCAAAGCTTCTACCCTGTGTAACAAATGAATTGTTTCCCAGTCGCAGATCGGCGATACCTCCTAGTATGAATGGGAAATATGACGTGGATAAAATTGTTGCTGAGTGCACTTTCCAAACCGGACGAAGAGGCAGATCCCAGCGACAATATAAAGTAAGATTCGCCTATCAAGACCCAAGTGAAGATCGCTGGTTTACAAGAGAAAATTTACTTAAGTTTGCACCTCACATTGTATCTGTGTATGAGAGAGCTAAAAGAGGAATAAGTATTATTGATAGATGAAGGTTTTTCTCAGAGGACTTCGAATCTAGGTCGGCGAGAGTAAAAGGGCCTTTACCCGATTCAGCCCCTGTTCGACGAAAGCAGCAAATTGGGGTCCCTCGCCCGGAGCCCAGTTCGTGAAAGCAGATCAAAAAACATGTTCTCTGGGTCAAAGGTCACATCCTGGCTAAAGTAAAGACAATGTCAAAGGTCATGGTTGAGCCCTGGGCGAACAGTCATCATGTTTGGA